GATCACAGGGGCACTAATAATCAGTTTCTGATCAACTCGTGCGCCTCGTTGGCCGCCCTGTACTCGACCAGTCCGCTAGAGTACCACCATTTCAACCAAACGGTGTCCATATTACAGGTATTTATGGTTAATGTGTTTTTAAATTTTATAATTTTGCACACATTTTATTAAGGATTAGCTAGGTTAAAAAATATAAAGTTTTATACCGATTTGTTTTTTAAGGTACTGTATTTAGTTACAGTATGTAATAACTTACTGTATCAGGTTTCCTGTGGTGAACCACTTAAAAAAATGTTTTGAAGTTTTACTTATTTACTTGTCCTAGATAAATTCATAGAAATAAGAGTGTTAACAAAAATATAATTTGTCTAATAAATAATACATGATTCCAACAAATTTAAAAATTAATTATATAAAAGATTTTAGTTAATTTTAAAAATTATGACCAGTTTTTAATAAAAAATAATATAATATAAAATCAATACATAATATATAAAGTAAAATTAATTATGTCACTGATTATTTTTTATGTAAATCATTTTTAAATATAACTTATTTAAAAAAATAATTTAACAAAAATAACCTGGGATTAGATCGCCGTGTGAGGTATGCCATGAAAACAGACCCTTTTTAGGGGGACTGAATGGGCTAGGTATTAAGCATACAATTCATCATTTCCCGTACATTCACATACAAAATGTTAACATTGCTTAAACCTTTATATACCCTTCATATGTATGTCTTATATTAGGATACAGTTTATAAATAATTTAAACAATAAATAAATAATACTACTTATTATCATTGGATATTTAACTTGATCAAATAATCTAACATGTTATTTAGAATTGAATTATTTGTTAGACAATTTTATTATGTAATATAATTATTATAAATAAATTAATAATTACATTACTATTGATTCCTATAGTAAACATTGTTTGCATGTACTTTACTATAGGAGTGTGAATACTTTCTAATAGATGGCTATAGTGTGCCTCAAATGAGAGGCAACTCTCCGTAAAAAGTGTTTCCAAAAAAGTAATTTTTAAAATTTTAAAAATAATTATTTTTTACTTTTTTCTCGATTTGATAGCAAAACGGAATGAATATATTGAAAAACATGTCGTCAGAGGACTATAAGACTGTTTTGGCGAATATTAAACACTATATTCTGGCCACAGATATGGCTAAGTATTTCGCTAATAAGAAAAAGTTGGACACAATTGCCAGCAACGGGGTGTTTGACTGGTGTAACCCGGATCATAAGTAAGTTATCAGTGAGCATGTTGATAAACATGGTGTTAAGATATTTTGAATATAAGTTGTAATAATACAATATAAATTAGTAGTTACATGTACCAATGTTACATGTTATCGAATGGTATAGAATCGATTATAGATTTTTAGAGATTTTGCAAAATATGCATACAAATCACTGTAACTAGAACATTTTTTTTGAATAATTTTATTATCTAAACATGTTAATTATATTATTAAATGCTATATACGTCTTGTAGTCTTGGTAAATTAAATAGTGATTATGAAAGGCTACACTAAATATTCTAGCACGAAGTATAATATAAAAGTAACATTTGCCACGATCATAATAAAATAAATATAGAAATCGAATTAATTTTTAAAAATATAAGCGTCTGAATACCACCAATACAAAATACATAAAAATATTTTATAACAATTTAATAATTGCCAAATACATAATTACAGTTTTTCAAGCATGCTAAAACTTCAAAATCTTAAAATATCCAAATTTCCACCTAGATTATTACTGTCATCCCTGGCCATGAACGGGGCTGACCTGAACTCGACAGCCCTTCCCTGGGCTGAGACCCGCGTGAAGACCAAAGAGCTATTCGAGGAGTTCTACGCGATGGGCGACAGCGAGCGCCAGGCGGGCCGGGAGCCCATCGCCCTCATGGATAGGCTCAAAATAGACGAACAGCCCCGCACTCAAGTGGAGTTCCTTGATAACATATCCATACCGTGTCTCAAGTTGGTCACCATGTT